CTGCCTCATCTCAATACTTAATGCTAGGGCTGCCAGATCCCCCTGGCTACCAGTGGGAGAGGCAGGGGGAAGTTGGTCCACTGCCCCCCCTTCTATGTGTATGGGTTAGATAATCACATCAGTTTCACTTTTAACCTTTGACGTGCCACAGAACTTTTTTTGAGACCTCTGGCACTAGACCCAATTTCCTTCCTTAAAAAAAACAACACAAAAGCAGGAGTCTCCATTAAAACCAATACCTGTAAAATGGATCATAATTTTACAACCTTTGTTTCTCATAATCCAAATCGCTTTACAACTTAACCCATCAAAGTACATGCAGCTTTCCTGCCATGTACTGGGATGGGTGTGTGTGTGTGTGAGACTCCTGGTTTTGTGGCCTGGAAGGGACTATGCAAAAGGAGTTTTTTAAAGCACTTGCTGGATACAATACAGATTCCCGGGAGGCTGTGTTTGGGTTGGTGGTCCAGACGTTCTGCAGGCCTGTTCTATTTTCTATGAGTGCCATCTTTTTTTCTTTTTTCTTTTACAAGGCCCCTGTGTCTTTAAACCATTCCCCGACAGACAGAAATGTAACACATGCAGTCCTTCATGTTATGGAGGTGGTGACAGAAACATACCGTTCCTGTCGAATGGCTTCCTCTCATGGCAATACGAAAAATAATGGACAAATTGGATTGGGTCCCTCCAGCTTCTCCTATTTTCCTTTACTCAATCTCATTTCTAGAGTCAGTTTATCATTTTCTGCTGTTTCAAAAAGTTTATTCACAAACCCCTGTTTCGTTGGTATCACCATGGTTTTTCAATATTTGGCATATAAGATTCTTGCAGCTGTCGTCATATAAACAGTCAAATACCTATTCTCTTTTTCATAAGTTTTTAAAAGCACTTGCTGGATACAATACAGATGCCTGAGAGGCTGTGTTTGGGTTGGTGGTCCAGAAGTTCTGCAGGCCTGTTCTGTTTTCTATGGGTGCCATCTTTTTTTCTTTTTTCTTTTACAAGGCTCCTGTGTCTTTAAACCATTCCCCGACAGACAGAAATGTAACACATGCAGTCCTTCATGTTATGGAGGTGGTGACAG